ATGTGTGTGTGTGTGTGTGTGTGTGTGTGTGTGTGTGTGTGTCACAGCCCAGAAACTTTTCAGAGTGCATGTTAATTTTCCTTGTGTTTAAAGAAAGCAGAGTCTGTCTTATTTAGTTTAAGGTAAGGGTACTCTACCAATTACTAGGCCTACCAGCTACTAGGCCTACAACCAACGGGTTTTAGTTACTATAGCAACTTGATTTAATATTGATAGTATTCGAAATATTGTTCTTGTTATTGCTTCTTTCCACAGGCGATCACTGTCTTGAATATACGCATGCTATATAATCTGTAGTCGAGAGTGTATGTATTTATTTCTTGTCCAGCTATGTAATTGCTGAAAGTTAACGCCTATACTCAGTCCTATTCTTCCTCATATAACCTTTTTTCTATTAGTTAGAACTCCCACCCCACGAGTCCTACTAAAGTTCTTCGTTTTTAATTAAAACTGTACATTCTATTCGTTTAGTTGGTACCTTGTTGTACTTGTAAGACGTGTGTGCATATTTGTCTTTCCTAAGGTTACAAACTAGTGATTCAAACAACGCTTTGAACAGCTACTTTGTGACATAGTAAATGCTTTACGGCACTGTCGGTGCAATTTAGATCATTCTGGAGATGGACTGCTTTAGCCCTGTCTGTAAAACCTAAATCAGTCTTTCAGTAGCAAGAAAAGAGAAAATTTATATCATGTCTTCCCTTGGTGGGACTCGAATTCTTGTTTTTTGCAAGCAAAGCAAAAAAAAAAAAAAAAAAACCCAAAAAAGAAACCTAAACTAAAAGGAGTCAGTGTGATAGATATTGATAGAGTAGCGATAAAGATGACAGTTAGTAGGCAATTCAGGGGTCGTATTGTTTCGTAATCGCAACTGTAATGTTACTTCATCGCTCTGATTATGAGTATTCTAATATGGTTGTTTTTATCTTTTCATTTCAGGATATGTTGACTTTGACCTCCTAACCTAGAGGTTACAGAGACATGTAACTTTCAGAATGGTTACCCCACAGGGAAAAGGATTAAACTGAAACTAATAGTGCTGCAGCTATACCAAAGACAGGAACAATGACAACTAGTCAGGTGTCCGCGCCAACAACAACGACAACAACGACAACAACGACAACAACGACAACAACGACAAAAGAAACAGCAACACCCGTTTCTTCATCGTTGTGTAGTGCAGAAATTCCTCTCAGGGTTGCTTGTTACTGTACGGCGCCATGTAAAAATTCCACTGACGATTTGGACATGGTGAATCCCCGCTCCTCAGCAGCTCGAGCAATGTCACTCTTCAACAATTCCCCATCCTCTTCGCACTTGGCGACGTTGGCACACCCGATATCAGCAGCTTCTGCAGCACCACAGGCATCTCAAACACTTACTGTTGGTTCTTCTCCTATGTTGTGCCCCATGACTTCAGCAGTTTCCTCTTCGTCGCCGTCCATATCACCGCCGTCCCCGACGTCTTCTTTCTTCAAGTCTTTCCTCTTCGGAACTTCTCAACGTACACTCCGGCCAGTTTCATATCTATTGCTGTTGTTTCTTCTGACATTTTGCTCAAATTGTGTGAACGCCAACGGGACTTTCACGAACTGCGGTGGACGCCTGGAGGGACCACATGGTACGATCCAAACTCCGGGCTTTCCTAGGCCGTTCCCTGTTCCTATTCGGTGTCGCTGGGTTATCCAAATACCGCAGGATAAAAAACTGGTCATCTATTTTACTCAGGTAAGTCGTTGTGGTTGTTGATGTTGGGACATTAGAAATAGGAGGACAAAATAGAGGTGGCCAACAGAGATAAGTGGATAGATACGTGTGAGATATAGAGAGGACAGGAAGTCAGATAAGAGAGAGAGAGAGGCTGAGAGAGAAAGCGAGAGAGAGAGTGAGTGAGAGAGAAAG